CTATTTCTTAAGAAATTAAAACAACATATTCACATTTTCTCCCTTTTCCTTCCCTTCCTGAAATTTACATGCTATTCCTTGATGTATCTAAGTGGTTTTCTGAGTTAAATGAAATAAAATCTATGTAGAAATAATTGTGTTTTCCCTAACATGGAGGGATTTATGGAAAAATCAATTCTCATAAATTCTATATGGTAGCAACTGCCATTCATTAACAATGTAAACTCGTCATAGCTAAAGTAAAAAAACTTTTTAAACATAGGTTTTAATAAAATACATTTGTTAATAATATTAGCTGGCCTGTTTTGTCAAAATAAATGGGAGGAAAACAGGGGACAAAACAAACCAGCAATAGAATAATGAAACAATCTTAGGGCATTATATGTTCTTCAGATAAGAAAAGTGGGAGTTGAAGCAGAATTTATTATGGTATTTGGTATAGGATTACTGATGACAGATTAGAATATGGAGGAAGATGCAGGAAGTACACAAAGGCAATAACATTCCTCATGCAATTTATACAGACTCCTTGGTGCTATAAAACTGACAAAAGGAATCTACTACAAGCTGAATACTAATCCACAGCAACTTGTAGTTGGCTCTGGGTATTGGAACTTCTTCATAATGCAAATATATGTTAAATAATCTGAGAAATACAGCCTTTAGTTGCATCCCTAAATCACTTACTACAGAAGATTCATGAAATACATCTAAGCTTATTCCTTGTGAAGTAGGCACAGGAATGCCCTAAGGAATGTAATGTTAAGCAGTTCAGACAGGAGTTATTAAGAGGAATTCTGGGCAAACATTTTACAGCAGAACTGGTATGCCATGATATTGCAATGTTTTCAGGGAGTCACTGTGATGATGTAGAGCAGAGGCATTTGTAACAAGAGGGGAAGGGGCTAAAATAGTTTGCACAACCATAGATTGAAGACCCTTCCTATGTTCCCCTCTGTAGACAACTAATACTGGAATTATTAGTATCATTGCAAATTATCAAATTTCCACAATGTGTGTGTGTGTGTGTGTGAGAGAGAGAGAGAGAGAGAGAGGGAGAGGGGGGGGGAAGGCTGATTACTTCTACAGACCTGGGCATTGTCTGTTCACAGGAACAATAGAGATGAACCATAGAGTAGCAATGCAACACAGGAAACAAATACAATAGAGATGAATGATAGAGCTGCATATAAGGTAAATGTAACACCCATAACACACAACTTCCAAAATGATAAAAGATAACATAGGAAAAAATAAGTCTTTCTGCAAGATTTTTACTTATTTACTGAGAGCAGCTGCTGCTAAATCATACAGTTGGCACTTCAGAAGCATTTACAGAATTTAAGAATGGAAGACTTTCCAATAATACAGCCTCTATATTACAGTTCTTAAGGGTTACATCTTTGTTAAACCTTGGTGGCAACATCACTCTGAAAAACCCTGAGGGGAGAGGGGATTAAATTGGGCAAGATAAAGCATTATGATCCAAGGCCCATCCCTTCTTCATGTATTGGATTAGAGTGCCACTTTCATCATCTTGCCTGTTCTGATCCCCTTCAAGTCATGCCCTTTAAGGTAAGGTTCAATTTTCAGGGCTATCACTAATGCTATTGACCACAGAAGAGGATCAAGCAAGGCTCCATACTAAACCATTCCTAATCAAAGTTCATTTTAATTCTAAGGTAGGCCAGCTCAACCACACAGTTTTTCAATCCCTAAAACTTTTTGGGGGATACATTTCTGCCCTGCTATATGCAGATGATACAGCGATACTCCTCAAGGATTCCTACTGGCTTTCAAAGAGTAGAGGGCCCTAACTCAGGACTGTAAGGAAAACTTGCTCAAACTTAAGTATCAGAAAACCAAAATCATGGCATTTTCCTGAGCCTCAAGACCTGCTAACAGAATGCAGATGGTCACAAGCCTAAGGCAGTATCATACTTCAACTATTTTGAGATAGTTTTTCACTACCAGCAATAGGAAATTCATGGAGATTATATTGCTTTCAGTGCACAGAGGAGCTCATCTGCCATTCTTAAATATCTTAGGACATATCCATAACTCCTAAATTGTCTGAAAAGAGTCATTTACATAGTTTCTTTACAATTGGATTCATTTTCTAATTTGCCCCACTGAAGCTTAAACAAAACTTTTAAGAGCAGCCCTTCAAATCCCAAACAGTATCTCCAATGTCTGTGACCCAAGATAGAGGCTTTAGACTCTATCTCTTGCACTGGACTCACATGATCGGCAATTATTTGCAATTTAATTTGATATTGGTAGTAGATATTAAAATCTCACTCTTGAGCCTTTCTGTGTATTTCTACTTGGCATAAACTACGGGTTACTTAACAACAATGGTAATTGGGACTTAACAATTTCATTGCTAAGCAATACAGTTGTAAAGCCAACTTCACATGCTTGCATTGCACAGCATTGGCAATCCTGGCAGTCACCATTGCCATCATTAACTAAAAATCATGGCTCATTAAGGGTGAACCTCATGTGACTTCAACTTGCTACTTCGTGTTGACTTCCCACAAAATCAATAAAATAAAATGAAGAAGCTGGCTGGAAGTTGCAAATTCTGGGCAGCTTGCAAGCAGGTGGAGGGTGGGTGATTACTAGACTGAGGCAAAGGATGCTCCTGCAAGTGTATTTGGGCTGGAGAGGGGTTCTGCAGTGCCGCACAAATGTCTGCAGATTACAAGATCCCTAGAATCTTGTACTCCGTAGGGGACTCCTTGGGAGAAAAAGCAGCAGGGATGATTTGTAACCTTTCCTAGCGGCTTCCCCTTTGATTCTGCTTGTAAAAAGTTAAGAGGCAAGCTAGGAACAAACCACAGTTAGATTCTAGCTAATCATTTTTAGCTGTCAGTATGTCTTCAGCCATTATACAAAGCCATTAACTAATAAACTATGTTTGCTTTGGATTTTTGTTCCTCTAGTTATTTTTTGATTTATTTTATTTTTTGTGTTATCATTTGTTTGCAATTGATTATTATTTTTTTCTTTTTTTTCTTTTTTTAAGATAAAAAATAAAATGCATATTTTAGATTGACTAGTAGATACGGAGAACTTTTTGAGAGTCATAATTCAAAAGTCAATTCTTTTTGAGAGTCATAATTCAATTGAGAGTCATAATTCAAAAGAATAGTGGGCTGGGACAAGAACTCAATTTTATTTTATTTCATTTACATTTAATTAACATTGAACAGTATTCTACTCTACTCTATACTCACATATTTAATGAGTTTTCTCTTCTATCAGATTAAAAATTAAGATATGACGGAGAGATGCATGATATAGATTTTTCATATAGTGAATTATATAGAAATCATGAAAACAGCTAAAGAGGAACATCATATTACTCTAATATTTTATAAATACATACTTACTATGGTACTTCTAGTTTTGCTATCAAAAAAGAAGTCTTTATCAGAGAGGTCAAACCTATGAAAATATTAGAGAAGGAAAAGAAAAAATGAAATAAAAATGAATAAATGTAAAGCAATATACAACAGAAACATATTGTTTGGTCAAAACTTTATTTCAACGAAGTCTTCAAAAAGTTGCTACTCTTCTTTTGAAGCATCAGAGTTCAAAAGCTTTCAGCTATTAACGTATGTCCAACCCATTGCATGTAGGATATTATGTTTAATCTCAACTATTCTTGCTGCTTTCTAGATAATGTACAGATATGTTGCTTGAGCCTACAATTCTGATGATATCAAAACATTGCTTTTCAAGAAAAAAATGCACAGTAGAATCATAAGGGGGTACATATAGCTATATTTCTATAAACTAAAAGTCACATTCTTTATGACTTTATGAGAAATATCCTTTAATGATTGCTAAACTGAATACTATCACATGGAGGCCGAATTACAATATAAAAAATGTCCTGCTTGATCAGATCCTTGGCCCATCTAGTTCAGCAGTTTATCTGGACATCTGCACAAAGAAGCCCACTAGTCTCTCAGTAGAAGTTTATACCCTTTAATTGACTGCATGCTGTTTTTCCTTGTAATACAACTTATGGTTGCTTTTCTCATGATTTGGATTGTATTCTGCTTGTGGTAAAGATATTACAAGACAATTTGGCCATAGAATGTGATGCTGCTTGGATGTTTTCTCTCTTGAACCACTTTTGGGAAAGTGTAGCATACACTTTCTCTCTTGAACCACTTTTGGGAAAGTGTAGCATACACACTGATGAGTTTTTAATAAAGAAAAAAGAAAAAACAGCCACATAAGCTACCTACCATTCTTTTATTAGTCTTAGCTTTGGGAGTTCAACTATTTGTATCTAGCTATTTGTATGTCTTTAGAAGCCTGATTGAATTCAGTTGGCTTATTTCCCAATCAGTCTGGACAGAACTATAGCCTGAAACTGGAATCCTGTATCTGTTTACTTGGGGCGTCTCTTGAACTCAGGGGGATTTAACTTGCACGTGGGTATAGGATTATTCCATAAGTCCTTAAGGGAATTCATCATGACAAAAATCCTCCATGACCTAGACAAGATCCTGTTTATTTGGAAAAATGATAAATTTAGTGCAAATTGTATTCAAACACAACCCTACGCATTTCTATTAATATTCACATATTTGAGCCTAATGCTATTCCCAGGGGCCACTTCTGTTGTAAATGACATTAATTAAAACCAATGAACTTTGACTTACAAGTGTTGCTTCTCCCTTGAGAAAGGATAGGAAAGTCGTTTCACTGTCTGATGCTTATGTTCTGCTACTTTAGGTTGAATGGGTTCTGTTATTTTTTGGATTACAGAATTGATCTTTTTCAAAAGGCCATGAGGTTGATGAATTTGATACACCTAAGGATTGAAAAGAAGTGTGTTTTTTTTAAAAAAATCGTACTTCATTTAAATCATTTGTAGAACATACCAAGTCTTAAAAGAAGTACAACTTTTAAACAGGATAATTAAAATTAGAAAATTATTATGGCTGGTGGTGTCCAAATGTTGAAATGAAGGGTCATATAAAGATGGAATCATAGGTACACGAATTTTATGCAATTACAGTTCTAATCATGACAGAGTGGCTTCCAACAACAGAAATTGGAGGATAATTTCCATATTATATAAACTTTCTGTGAGCAAAAAACAAAGCAACTTTTTGTTTATAATGTAGCCCCCATTACATTATACAAAGTTCTGCTTCCAGCACCTTGTTCTTGCTGGTTTGAATCATATTGCTTTCATTTTTCTGATCAAGGAGCCTCAATTCCTTCTGATCTCCTTAATTCAGATTTTCTAAAAATGATGGATGGGTTACTTTAAATTTGGAAATATAATTAAAATAAATAACATGATAAATAGAACTTGATCAGAAACTGTTACAAAATTCAAGCCTAATGTTTAATTTTAGTTTTACTTAAAATAAATTACTTTGTACTCTAAGGCCGTCTCTTCTTCCATTAGAGACATTTCCCTCCAGTGTCTGGGTTCTGCACTTAGTATGTCATTAAATATTGAGCCATTTCTCAATTTTGCACCCTGAACAGGTACAGAAACATCTTTCAAAAGCCTAATATTCAATCATATAATATTCTATGGTGACAATGGGCTTTTAGAATTGTATTTCAAATATTCATTAGAAATTAAAGCTAGATTCTACCATTCTTTTATTCTTGTAATTCACATACCCATGTCTATATATAGAATCATAATTTCACCATAATATAGCCACTAAAATAATTCACTTTGCAAACTTTCTGTAATGAAAGAAATATTTGACTGAAAGTACAGAAATAATCTTATTTATATAGACCAGGGGTGTCAAACTCGCAACATCATATGACGTGTTGCGATGTATCGTGCCTTTTTTTCCATTGCTGGCAATGGGGTAGGGGCGGTTTCGCCATGATGCATCCAGCTCACGGGCCGGCAGTTTGACACCCCTGATATAGACATACATTAAAATTTCCAGAGTAGAGACATAGACTAGAATGTTTTAAACAGTTTGTTGCACCTAGTGGTCATACTCAGTTGTAACACAAAGCTATAATCGATAGGTTCACTCATTACACAAAGCCCAAAACCTATTATGTTTGAACTAGGGCAGGGGTGTCAAACTGCCGGCCCATGGGCCGGACACGTCACAAGGAAACCGTGCCCACCCCATTGCCGGCAATGGGGAAAAAGTTCCGATACATTGCGTGGCGTCACGTGACATCGCGAGTTTGACATGTCTGAACTAGGGTATTAAGTAAACTCACTGAAATCAATGGGACTTAAATAATGATATGTTAGTCATGATTTCAGTAAATTTATTCTTACTATGATGATCCATCCCATCCTCTCACAGGATCCTCTAGAACTGTAGTTTCATAAACTATGTCTAGGAAAGAAGAAATTTAGCAAAGTTAAGGCATGCCAGCTACACAGATTTATGTCTGTAGAATAACTAATGGCCTTGTTTGCTTTAGTGTAGTCATATTTTTTAAATCTGCTTTATTTTTCATGTTGAAATTTTTCTCAAGCAAGTGCTGTTTCTTTATGTACCATATGTCAAATTGCCATTCTAAAGGCTGTCTTGAATGCCAAGGGTCCGACATAAAATCTAACATTTTAGATCTCAACATGCATCCACATTGAAGACAACAGTGGTTTTATTTGTGGTGTGAGATCAGAAAAAGGTAACAAACACTTAATTGCAGAAGACCCCTGGCTACCTTGTACTTCCCAAATATTCTGGACTATTATTCTATATATCATATCCAATATGGTCAATGTCAGAGAGAAGAGCATCAGCTTGCACATTGTTAATATCAGTGAAATTAGCACTCTAGGATGGGCTGAGTGGGATGGCTGATGGCAACAGAAAAAAACCTGCAGCTGAATCAAAAGCAAACACAAGCAGCCTGTCTTATGCATGATTTTTGGAAAGGCATGTGATAAATATTTATAAGATTAACTACAAAATGGCACCAACTATGTCTACATATCTTTTAAGGAACAAATTTCTGCAATGCAGTGCAATGAACATGCATAAACATTTATATCTTGCAGCATTACACTTCATACATTGCTCTATAAATTGTGTCACACACTGTACCAAGAGGTTTAGTTAAATAACCTGGTTCTCTTACAGGCAGACAATTTTAATTTATGAGGAGACTATGAAAAGAAGTTAATGTCATGTCATTTAAATGTTTAGACCTCCTGATGTTAAAGAATACTAAAACTAACCTTTTTTGTGGGCATCTTCAGTTTCATAAACTCTGCTTCGCGGCACAAAACATTCCAAGGAGCATGAATTTTTATAAATCCAAGACCATGTATTTTTGTCTTTAAAAAAACAGACAGAAAAAATAAACCTTTAAACCAAATAAAAATAAAAGCACCATTTGTTCAATTTCATTTATATTGCGCTGTGTGTTTTTCTTCTTTAAAAGGAGAAAATAATGATTATGGGGCAAATAAAGAAAGGCTGATGGAAGATATATGGACTAGGTAACGCATTTTGGCAGAAATAAGCAAAACTCAGTCTAAATAATATGTCTTAAATAAAGCTCTCGAAATCAACACTAACATTAAATGGTACTCTTTTCAAATGAAATATTGCTACTATAAAAAGTTACTAACCTAAATCTATCAGTTGAACATTGCAATATGACAATTCACCAGAAACATTTGACTACAATTTATTACTTGTTTACCCTTTACAGAAGTTCCACTCACTGTAATTAAAATTTTACTTTATGCTCAAATTAATTAACATCTTCAAATTCCTTGTCTAATTGACAAGATGATTGTTTTAATATTAATCATTTCAGATACATCAGGCCCTTTTATCATCCAATGTATTAGTGCTAATGGAGTTCTTGGGCAATCCACTTCGACAGTCCTACAGATTTTTGTTTTTCAGACAATTAACCAAAGTCTGTGCAAGTTAACCTTTCTAAGAAGACAAGTTCCAGAGCTAAGATCTCTTTTCTGTCTTCGATTTGATTGCCATTACTCCTGTGCTAGTTTACACAAGCATAAAAACTTGTTTTCATACTGCTGCCCTGAACACCTGCTTACTAGAAATACATTACCCAAGAGACATAAATAGCTGCCAATCTCAATATGGCAGAGCTTCAAAAACATGTATGGTATTAACTTACTTCATGAAGGAGAATTTAATCAATTTAATATATGCTTTCCTTGAAACAAGCTTTTACTTTTACTTTTAAAGTCAGCAATAAGGTTTTAGTGACAGCCAACCACACAATTACAAGGAATTCTTTTGCCACATATGTCATTTTATTTTTCTGTGAACATCGCCAGACATTTGCTTATGTTTTTGGTGTCACATTTTGCTGAGTAGTGTCTTACCATATAATTTGATTCATGCTTGGAAGACAGTTTAGTTGAATTCAATTATTCAATTCAATGACTCAATTCAATCTTATAGATTCAGACTTATACTCTGAAGTTATTATAGAATTACAGTACTGAACTCTAATGCTCTACGTTTTTCCTGGGATTAGGTCCTATAGAATACAGTAGGGCTTACATCCATATATGTATTCAGTTGTACAACTGGTATATCAAAATGACTTGAAACAAACTATTTATTTAAAATGAGTTACAGCAAATATAAATTGTAGTTAACTAACAATTAACAATGTGCAGTTCCAATTATACACTGAGATTTTAAAAAGTCATAATACATTATTAAAGATGACTGCTCATATGTCACGCTGAATTCACTGAAGCTTCTTTCCATGTAAGCATTTATAAAATAAATGCAACATTATAAATAATCTCTTAATATTATATTCAAAGAAGTGGGTTATTTCTTTTTAAACCACTGTCATAATTCTTTATTTATTAAATATTATTAGTATTGCCTTCAAGTCAACTTTTGATTCCAGGTGACTGCCTGGACAAATACCTGCAGTTTTCTTAACAAGGTTTTACAAAAGTGGTTTTTCATATTCCTGGGGCTGAGAGAGTGATTTACATAGGATCTGGATTGATTATAAAAAGGTAATTGATTCACTGATTCATTGTTATACTATTGAATCATCATATGTTTGGAAACAACCAATATCAATTAAAACATTAGAATGTTTATAGAAAAAGAAATGGAACAATGAAAGTCAGAATTGGTGGTTGGAAGTGAAAAAGACAAGCTTGTCAATATTAGTAGAAGCATCTTCCCTTATCTCCCTTATTATTTATCATTGCTATATAGTCCTACTTTCAGTGATTTTTGAAGAAAACAAATCTTGGTTATCAAATTGTAAGAACTAATAAAATGTCACATTTGCTTTATATTAATGATCTGAAGCTTTATGAAATTCAGTTATTAACAAGCAGTATAAGAATTTTTAGCACAATGGTATTTGGCCTAGAGAAATGTGCAGTAGCAATAAATGGAGGTAAAATCATGAATAGTAATGGAATTTAAATACTGAATGGCTAAATCAGCAGCAGCCATCAGGATGGAGCCTACAAGTATCTAGGCCATTTACAGTTGGATAACATCAAGCATGGACAAGTTAAAAATGTGATTAGTAAAGCATATCTCCAAAGTGTAAGAACATTGCTAAAGACAAAATTAAATGGTGGAAACACCTTCAAAGCTTTTAATTAATTAATTTATTTAAAACATTTATATAGCTGCCCATTTTATACCAAACTCGGGGCAGCTCCCAATCAAGAATTAAAATAACATAAAAACCATATTAAAACTATTTAAACCATAAGCAGTAAAAACAAAAACATGGTGCCAAGTCAAGCTACTGACAAACAGTTACCAATACCTAGTCCGTACCTGTGATACGATACACTGCTAGAATTATTAACTAGATGCAAGTTGAACTAGACAGTTTGGACTGAAAAACAAGAAAACTGATATCGATTCATTATACATTAAATCCCCATAGTGATATCGACACATTACACCTGCCTGCAGAAATGGAGGCAAGGTTTACTTCAAGTCAAATAAACTTCCAAAGAAGAAAAGCATGCACTAATTATATAAAAACAGCCAAGAATGAGCATTGATGCAAGTTAAAAATTGGAACTCATTGAATGTGCAGGAAACACAACATGAATATCAAAATAATATAATGAAAACACAAAGAGAATGCTGGCAAGGAAAAGTATTAAATTTGTACAAAAGATTAAGGGGAAAATGAATTGAGATAACACCTGGCAATAGCTAACAACTGAAACATTAAAGAAAAGAAACTGAAGGCTTGATTTTGGCTGCTCAAGAGCAAGTTAATTGAACTAAGGTAGAGGAAATCTCTAAGCTACACCAACAACCTGCTAATGCATTTGAAAGTCTTGATGCTTATAGTCAGCTAGACCAAAATAGATAATTGATTATTGATTGATATTTTAATTTAGCTAGCAGATATATTAGGCCAGCAAACATACTGTGTTCCAAATATACTTTTTTCTGAAATAGATATTCAGAAAATTAGATATTCAGAAGATTATTCACACTGAATAATCAAAGATTCGTATAACTTTCACCCAATATAAAATGAAAACTCCCTTACTACTCACTTTTCCCTTACTACATGGGAGGTCTGGCATGATAATTATTCCAATGTCACGTAAATTAGAGTTACTTGTGTTGAAATGCATATGCCTAAGGTTTTCTGTTTTAATTAACCTGGCATTGTTTCATTTATATCTTAATTATTATTCAAGATGTTTTATTTAACATATTATACTACCAATTTCTAATCACAACCTAACTGCATTTTGGAGCCCAGCATTTAATTTAGAATATCTGCTAAAAAGTTCCCATGAATAAAGTTAGAAGCTAAAATAGTAGTATCAATATTTCTTTTGCACAGAGACTTGGAATTCTTATAATCTTTAGAAACAATGACAAGAGTAGTCTGTGGTCCTTTTGAACAGTTTTCCTTAAACATAGGAAAGTGTTACTATGAAATTCTAAACACAGATGAATCTTTTTGTTTAAAATTGTCTGCCCTATTCCTGTATGCAACATGATACAAATTATGTTGCTTAAAGGATGCAGAATGTCCATCAGCACCTTGAAAATTTACACTGTTGAACAGGTACAGTATGTTACGAAACCAATCACTTATTGGTTTGGGTTGGAAAATATATCTTAAATTTCCTCATTCTCTGCCTTTCAATAAAGTTTGACATGCATTGATTGTAGGACAATCTTTGTCTAAATTTGTGGAAATTAAGATGTGATTCTAAATGCCTTTGGAGTTCTTATCATACTTCTAAGATTATTTATACTTTACATTTATTTACAACATTTATTGGGTGCCTATTTTACCATAAGGTAAGTCTGGGAGGTTTACAGTCATTAAAATATGTCTATACGTATACATTGAAATATAAATAAATTAAAATCAAACATTAAAATCTAAGGACATGTGGGGAGGGTGGAGATGGAGTGGAAGGAGATGGGATCTGCTGTTACTCGATCAACCACCTTACTGGGCTGTTCCCCCAATGGGGCCCCAAGCCAACTGGCAGACATACATTTTTAGGCCCAGAGGGCAGCAGCCACAGCAGAGAAGGCCCCCCTCCTGGAGTCCGCCAGCCGGAATAATCAGGCTGATCACAGCATGCCTCCTCTGCCAGTACGAGTGGGACAGGTCAATCCCAGTGGGGTGAAATTGTCCCTCAAATAACCTGGTAGGATAGATTTATATCTGCAACAGCATTAGCTTTTTAAGCTCTATTTTAAAAAAAGCATTTTAATTAATTTGTTTACCTCTAACACTTAAATCATTCTTAGAAAATGGCATTTTTCAGCCCTGCATGTTTAAAACTACAATATTTTTTTTCAATCCATAAGATTTAATTCAATGATGTATAGGACAAAATAATGAGGTTCATTTTATATCTTCCATATAAGGCCTGATCGTATGATCAACATCAATAATTTGGGGATATGGTTTAAGTAAGCTTAAGATAATGGATTAAGAACATAGGACTTAACCATCAATATGTGTTTAGAATTTTGCCAGTAATACAACTTTTAAAGACATAGCTTTCGTCATGAAATGACAACAAACTTTTATTTAATGTAAAGGCATTTCTATCAATGATGGAATGATTCTCCCTCCCTTCCTCCCTCTCTCTCACACCCACACACACAATCTCACATCTGGACACATACCAAACTTTTGACAGGGCATTATCATTGTATACATGTGGTCACATGAATGGACTAGTTGTTTTGGATTATATCAAGGCTTGTATAAAATAGGGAAATTTTATAGGAATAGCATCATAGTTTATTATAAGAGAATTTATAGCAGTCTGAATTAGTTGGGGTCCTAAAGGAAAGGAAACAAATCTGGCAACATTAAGCAGATTTTCAGAGAAAACTTGTAAAAGTGTGTATTTCTACAGGCATTCTACTGGGATTAGAGTGTACTGGGATATTTCTACAAAATCCTTAATTTTTTCTTATTTTAGTAAATATGACTCTTGTTTTTTAGTTACTCATCTTCACCCTTGCGTAACTTTCCTTGCAAAAGGCCACTGGCAGAGAGGGACACATCCCTTTGGGGAATAATACTGTTAAGTCAAAATATACTTCCGTGGGAATCTCTCTACTTGTTTGTTTTGGAACTCTGCCCCTTGAAGAAAAGCATATTCTATTTATCTCTCTATTGTACAGATTGATACATGGGCTGAAATGACTATGAGCTAAGGTAAATTCATTTGAACACAACATTAGAAGTCTGCAATACTGTCCTTTATTTGCATGAATTATTCTTTCAGAACTAAAATCATTGCACAGATAGAATAGTAATTCCATGGAAATGGTCATCTATCTTAAAATATTATATCATGACATCGCTATAAGTTGTGGCTTTGTCTCTAAATTCAAAGTTTTCCATTGAAACTAAATCCACGCCTATTCAGGACCAAAAGAAGAAAATACTTTTTTCTGAATGTGTTGAATTGTCCTCCTATGAAGAAAGACTTCACTAACTGAGCCTCCTTAGCTTGAAGTAAGAGCTAGTTGGTATAGTGGTTCCAGGCTAGAAACCATGAGTTCTAGTCCTGGCTTAGGCACAAAGCTAACTGAGTGACCTTGGGCCAGTCAGTTGCTTCAGCCCTAGGAAGGAGGCAATGGCAAAAACCACTTCTGAAAAACCTTGCCAAGAAAATTACAGGGACTTGTCCAGGCAGTTTCTGAGAATTAGACACAATTGAATAGAAGCGAAAAAAGAAGATAAAAATTTATATAATTGTATATAAATTTGTTCATGTCCAGAGATAATAGGAAGAAAGGAAACTTTCCCCATTCTTACAAAGTTAGAAGTTTAAGGTATCCACAAACATTAAATACAATCAGTTTCAGGACCAACAAAAGAGAATACCACAGCAAAAAACTATGGAATTGGCTACCAGTAGTTGTAATGGTAGCCAATTTCTGCCATTTTAGAAGTGGACAGAAGAGGTTGATGGAAGAATAGCCTGTGAATGGCTACTCACACTGATTGGCTCTTTACCTTCTCATGAATTATAGACAATTTACTATATGCCATAGCGGTTGAGAAATGATGGGGTTCTCTATACTCCAGTTCAGCCTTGAGCTTTCCAAATGCATCTAGTTGGCTATGGTGTGGCCTGGAACATTAGACGACCTGGATCTATGATTTGATCTACATGTGTCTTTCCTATGTTCCTATCTCTGTAAATTTGGAACTTAAAATATGTAATATAAAAAATTTTTTAAATAAGTTTTTATAGCCTATATAGAATCTTTTATATTTTCTATCCAGTATAACCCAATGAACTGTTGCAAAACCTGAATATAATGGGAATATGAGAATCTATGTTCAGTAAATTTATTATTGTCTCTTTTCCCAAGTTTATTAAATGTATTATGAAAGATATATAGTATTACAAACCATGAATGATGCACAAGACATTATCACTACTACTATGTTTTACTGTTCCATCTGGATATGGACCACATGTATTGTTTCTGCTTCCTTCTATTGCCAAAGTTTCTTTTTGTAAGCAAGCTGAAAACATTGTTATTTATTTTAGCAATGGCACTCTGGTAGACTAACTCTAATTCATTTGTATGCATATGTTTTGATATCTTTTTGTATTGCTTTGGTACATAACTTGCATTTTAAATTCTATATAGGAAATGTTATTATATAATGTGGGGATATGCATAACATGATAGGCAAAATAAAAATATTGTAAATGAATAACATGATCTTGCAAATTAGATTAGATTCTGTCTTCTTATATATTGGGGTTAACATGGGTTTCAATTGAAAAGCAGTACAGTACTCCTCAACATGAAGCATTATATTTGAATGAAAGATTCTATTAAAAAAATTATAACCAATACCTGCCCGTTAGTTGTCCCAGATATACATAGATTATGCCTCAACTGATCAAAGAGAGAAGCAAACTGGAATTAAGGAGAAACTTCCTGACAGTGAGGACAATCAGCCAGTGGAACAGCTTACTCCGAGAAATCGTGGGTGCTCCATCACTGGAGATTTTTAAGAAGAGACTGGACATTCACCTATCTGAGATGGTATAGGTTCTCCTGCTTGAGCAGGGGGCTGGACTAGAAGAGGTCCCTTCCAGCTCTATTCTATTCTATTCATCATAATTTAATCTCTCACATGACACATGGATTTAGTTGTACCACCAGAAATTCCTGCCATTTGAGAAAAATGCTGCTTTATTACTATTATTTTGCTTTTTTTCTTCTTTTAACTATACCACATTTTGCCTAATTTCTTTAATGATTTCTAAAATCATTGCTCTTTGCTCAGGCTCTAAAAATTCACCTGTCTAAATACTGCCATGCTAAGTGTCCTAAAAGATATTGAGACTAATTCCTGGTAACTACATGTACCAGTCTATGTACATATTTTGACAATACAGGAACTTTTTCCTGCTTCCCTTGGGATTTTCCCATCAAACTTTAGCTAGCTTGGCCCTGTTTACCCTTTTCTAGATCAGTCAAGGTTTCCTAACTGCTGCCACCTGGTCCATTGTTGGCTGAATGCTAATAACATTCAATACCTGGATAGTATTCTACCATCATGTTTTGATAGGAGACTTTGAAAAAAGCTTAAGGAAAGCTCATCAATTTCACCTTAAGAAAACTCATCAATTTTTCATTTTAAAATGATCACTTGAGAAAGTCCTTATACAGGTTTGTTAAATATAATGTCTCTTATACAGGTTTGTTAAATATAATGTCTCTAATAAAATAGTGTTCAATTTGCATTTTTGTACAATCACTTTTAAGAGGAAGTCCATTATATAAATAAAGTTGACAATAAATGCACCAAACATAATGTATAATATTTTGTGTGAATAAAGGCTACATGTTCGCATTTATATGCAAACAGAGTTTGAACATGGTATTCGTATTATGTATGTATGTATATGTATGTATGTGTATGTATGTGTATGTATATATGTAGATGTAGATAGACAGATAGACAGATAGATGAAAAAACTGCAGTCAGCAAATATTATCCCATAGAAAACTATATATGATAAAGAATGCAATGCAAATGTTCCTTCTTGTAGCTTGATAAATATAAAATATGGATGCCCAGGACCACATGAAAAATACATTATATTAAAGACTAGTTTCCAAGTATGTTAGAAAAAAATGCTTAATTGCATGGGAATCTATGAAGGCTTTGAAATTCTCAAGAACTTTTCAGCAACTAATCAATATAGTAATTATTTTTATATGCACAGTAAAATAAAAGGAACAAGAGTAATTACATCTTCATCTCTTTCTAGCTCAAGACCAGCCTGCATAAGGTTGCTTTCATATTCTTCTCTGCGGAATCTCTTGTCATCTTCATGATAATCCATGTGAGGTACGCTTTCATCCATGCTAAGCTGCCCTCCTTTTCCAGGAAGTGGTTTATCTTGCTTAACACTTCGAGGCGCCAAATCATTGAAATGGATTCGCCGAGTGAGTGTCCTACTAAATGAGGACTTCTTGTAGTGGTAAACCAGAATATAATCCACTTTTCTTTTCCCATCTCTAAAAAAAAGTCCATATTTGCAGTTGGCATCTGGATCTTGTGAGAATGAATTTAATAGCTGTAAATGAAATGAAACAGATTGAAATAAATGTTGACATTAAAAATGAAAATAGTTAAGGATTAAATAGTTATTTTTAGGCACAGCAAAGATCATGGATAAACTTGCCAGACTGTACACTTACAAAACACTGCACTTTAATATTTAAAACTTTGTTGATGGGCCAGGGGCCTGAAATGGTAAACAAAGAACAAACAAATAACAAGCCATCTGAGGTAACAGATGATTTCACTCATTTGTTTTGCACAGTACACTGGCTTTATGAAATCTCTGTATGTTAAGATCTCAAGTTACTACATCCTGAAAATCATTAGCTGATTTTCTACTAAAGATACAGATCGTGTTGAGTGCTTTGGTCTTAAATATGGGTTGAGATCACGTGCTTTACTCTACAAGGGATATTTGTCTTTTTACTATTGACAAATAGATTAATGTTATATTCAAATATTTGTCACTTTTCTTCATCATCTGAAAAAGAGATCAGTTTTAATAGAGAATGAAAGAAAACAGCTGGTCATATAGCCCAGCCAAAAAAGATTCATGGACTTCGGCCAGTAAGGGACCAAGGTTCAGTTTTTGCTTCATTTGTGATTCTTTCTCATGGAAAATTAAAATGGAAATACAACTGTCATTCTACCACCTGCAGTTTCATGATAACTGGAAGTAGTATTGCAATTAAAGTTGCATTTTTTCAAAAGATATATGCTTTTAAAAATTAAGTTTCTAAGCAAAAAATGTAAGACTTATGGGTCCTAATTTATCTTTCATTACAAGTATTTGTTGCTTATTTGTAGATCATGATTAAGAAAACCATGGCTTAATATAATATGTGGGCACATTTAGCGTGGATAAACCAAGTTTACTCAGAGATGTATAGCAGGAGGTGTATTTGATTTACAATTCCTAAAACAATCACAACACTTAGGATTGTTATTTTATCCCCTCAAACTCACAAACTAAAATGTAGGTCACAGGATAGAACTTCTAAACAGAAGATAGCTTTCAAAATGCTGAAGTGTCAAGTGCTACATAAATAGATGCACCTGTAAAGACTTTTGCAACTCACTACATTAGGAAAATTTGATACCTTAGCATCACCATATGACTAAAAAGATTGAGTTACTTTGAGCAGTGAAAATTCATGCTGATGTTTCAGATTGGGAATGCCACTTATAAACCTACTTATCCTTAATTAAACAAAGTATTTCAAATCATTACTTTATTGGACTGAAAGAAGAAAGAAAACTATCAATGCTTCCAAGTTTGCATGTGTGGTCTTTCTCCAGAGACCATTTTTTTTATATCTTGGACTGAGGCATAAAAAAAGATGCTTCCTTTTTTAAGGGAAAAAAAGTTTAATCCATTTTTTTGTGCTTTTTGACAAAGATACCCTGACCTTTTGAATTTGTGAAGTATTTTTGTTTAAGAACTTTAGTAAGTTTTAGTATATAAATTCTAGCTAAAGTGACTAAATGTCTTTACAATCTGGAGTAATAGATTTAACTAGGTTTTTAAGAGTAGGCTGGTCCACTATAGAAAATTGCATATAGACAATTTAATTTTTTTAGTGATCGATTAAATCTAATATAGACTTCAACTCTGTTTCTTTGCTATATTTTTATTTCTTCTTTTTATAGTGTCTACATTTATGGCAGGGGACATAAAGAGCAGTTTTTAAAGAATTTCAATCTTTTTATTCAGGGTGCGTGCCTGTTTAACTGTCTGTATACACACACACAAACACAATTTACTTTTCCATTCATTATCACTGACAATGTCTAATTAGTTTCTTGTTACATGTGTTTGTATTGCTTTCGTGTCATGTTTACTTATTTATTTATAACAGTAAGAAACCTAGCAGATTTCTCCCCTGGAAAAACATGGTTGTTTCAAGTCCTCTAATATTCTTTCAAAGCACTCAATCAATCTTGTGTTGATTCATAGTTTTGCAATTTAAGAAATTAAATAAGGGCACAAGATTTTATTGAATGCAAAGGGGTTCCTTTTCAGCTACGTTGCTTCATTCAATTCCCCATTACTTGCAAGAATTGTCTAGGGGTATACAAATATAGAATTTAACAATCATTGTTACCCCAGTTATGAATGACCACAATGGTACCATAATTCCAATGCTTACATAGACCTCCCATTCTGACCAAATCATGTAGACGCAGGATTATATTCTTTCCCCTTTAATATTTGCATAGTGGGAGAGATACACAGAAGTGTGCAATTACACACATAATTGCAACATGTGCCTCTAAAAGTATTATTTCCATGTTATTATGCTATTACATTATGTTATTGTTACACTGATTTCAAATTTTCACTGGAAACCCCAGAGTTAAGTTTTATAACAAAGCCTTTCTCCTTAAAAAGAATATACAAAGCCTACATACATATGCATTGTTATTCCTGCCAAATGCCATTTAAATTCACTAACCAATAAGTAATTATTAATGGAAAGGGTACAATTTTTTTTTTTCTTCACCATTTCTGAAAGGCAATTCGGCTTCTAGAACTTTGCAAGTCATAGTTCTTCTAAGTTCCTTTCTAAGTGGGGGTAATTATAATGCTCTATCAAGAAACAAAACATTGGGTTCCAATTTTCTTAACCTACTTTCTTTTTTATTCTTAATTTTATTAGTTCGCCTAATCACAAGACCTTGTCCTATTTATTAGTAAGGTTTTTTTAACTACGCCATTTGTACTGTTATAACTTTGTCTTCTCTACATATATGGATTTCTAAGCCTATTAACTTCATTCTTTTATTTGTATTTGTTTGTTAGATTTATGTCTCCATTTTTTTCAGGACTATACTGCACTCCTTCCTCCAGCTTTTTTCCACAACAACATTCTTGTGCAATTCAAATTATCCCTCAAATTTAAGTAGCTATCCATAGGTTGGGGCCTTGGTTCCTCTGTCTTGCTCCAATACTTTAATTGCTATTTCTTAAAAGCTTTTGCTATCCTATTTGATATGTTAAAATCATAGATTTGATTTTTCTTTTAAATAGTTGAAACAGTGAGCTTTGAAAATTGACTATATATACAAAATTGGCTTATGTTAAGATTATCACTTTGTTTCTGCTTAAGGCGCAAAATAAGCAGAGGTCCACAGGTTAAACTCTGCCACTATTACTATCACAAAATATATGTGCCAATAAACGTCATAGCCTTTGATATTTTCAATCTTTAAAACAACACAGCTTAATTTAAAAATTCAAATTAGACTTGCATGTGTGTAGCTTAAATACCACTAACATTTTAATTCTGATAAACAGTCGCATACTTTTGAGGATTGCATTGATATAAATATAAAAATCAATAAGATTAATCTTACTTTGAAAAGTTATACATCATGGGTACTTAAAGATTACAAGTGAAAAAAATCAGAAATTCCGTATTATTTCTATAATGCAATTAGATGCAAAATACTTACTTACATATTTGTGTGTTTATACATGTGTGTGCATATACAGAATTGTAAACACACACACACACACAGACACACACACACAGGTGTCTATCTTTTTTCCCATATGATTCTTCAGAATGATGCTGTTCCAAAGAGAAACTTTTCATTCTTATTTTTTATAAATGACCCAAAAGCTATGCCGTGTTTTTAGTGACTAATGCTTGAAATAGCCCTGCATTTGGAAGGAAGAGAGTACTATGAGCTGTACAATGTCAGCCACAAAATTGCACGGCACTAGGGAAACTAACCTGTAGTACCTGGATGCCCCCTTAATCCACAGACCAGGTGAGAAAGCGGCTCTTCTACTTACCGTACTTTCTGTCCGAACATAGCCGATGTCTTCAATAGCTCTGATGTTGATGATGTGGATTCCCTTCTCCTCGGCAGGTAATGTGGAGTATTTCTCATTCATCCTCATTGTTGTTTCATTAGAGGCATCTCTGAAATTTTCTGGGAGAAACTCCACCCCATGAAACGAACCGTCAGGGTCTAAAGAAAAGGGAAACAGCTTAGCTTAGAGCTTTTCGTGGCATCTCGTTTCCAGCTGGAACATGTCCAGGTCTGCCTCTCCCCGTCTTTTGTTTTCTGCTCTTTGAAAGGACCTCCCCTGTCTTCTCTCCCTTATGCTCCCCGGCTCTACTCTGAACACTTGTATGCTTTGCCCAGGTTCCTTCTTGGCTTTGGCTCGGCTAATCAGCACTGTAGAAAAGATTCTGTGTCACAATATAGATGCTGCCAGACTCTTTAGACTGCAGTAGCAGCTGAATGAATTGAATGTCTAATTAATTGTTTCACAAACAGCCATTACAAATTCATTGTCCTCAACACACAAACAAATAATAGTAGCATATAAACAGAACAAAACAGAGACCCACACGGAATATGCTGCATGCTAACTTACTTACACAGCCGTACCATATAAATAATGTTATAGTCAGAACACGAATTGAGTC